ATAAACTACTGCGAGACTGTTTCAGGCTGGACAAAAGGAAGAATTTCTTTACTGTCTGAGCCCCCAAGGTCTGGAACAGCCTGCGATCGGACGTAGTTCAAGCACCTATATTGAACACCTTCAAGAGCAAACTGGATCCTATAACCCCAGCTGACTTCCTGCCCTTTGGGTGGGGGGCTGGACTCGATCTTCTGAGGTCCCTTCCAGCCCTAATGTCTATGAAATCTATGAAATAATACAAAGTAATAGATTTTATTACCATATCTATTTGACTTAGGATCCCCCTTAGTTTTGTATAAGATTCCACAGATGCTAAGTCACTATCATTTTTTTCACAGTAGAAAGCAGCTTCTTGGTAGCTCAGGCGCTTGTCCAACACAAACCAATATTCAGATCCGTCAATAACCAGCGATGGTCCATGAATTCCAACTGCATCTACAGAGAAAGTAACAAAAAACAATAACAACAACAAAAATCAGATTCAAGAAATTAATCCTGAAAAGTTATTACACACAGAAAAGGAAGATTGAACAAAGTTTGTTCTGATCCTGGGAGAGCTGATACTTGCTTCTCCTTCCAAATATTTTTGGTATTATGCACGCTCCATGATCTACACTAACATCAGAAAGGATATTATCATAAAAAAATACTACATACACAAAACTGAAGTAGATGTAAGAGGCAAATCTATTTACCTGGTATGTACCACTTTGGTGTCTTCGGAGTGCTACCTGTTCCAGGAAAAATATATAATTATTGCAGGGGCATTTCACAACAAGACCCAAGCAACAAAGCATATAAATTCCTATACCCTCTTTTTGGCAAGAAGAATTTGGAGTAAATTGGTTTTACAGTTTCCATACCCAATCTTGCATTCCTAATGGACTCACATTCATTTAAAATAAATTGGAGTTTTGTCTAAATTAAGTAAAACGTATTATTTTTCTCCTCAGTAGAGAAACGTGCAAGCATCAAAATTCTAATAATATCAATTCTATCCTCATGTAGATGCTAAGATTTGGCATTTTAATTAAATATTTCCAGTGAATCAAGAAAAGTATGGAAAGCTATTTGTCTGATCAACTGAAATTACACAAGAAGATAACACTCTTAATGGCTCACAAAATGGCAGTGTCTGTGACACTGTACTATCCTTTTTCACTCCAACCAAAGAAACCCTTTTCTGGCTACCTTGCTACTCTGGAGAGCCTAATTACAAATTTTACTGGGATAGTAAAGGTCAGGTTTGGGTCTGGAGGAGATAGGTTACATTTCTTAGCTGTCTATATGGTTTTCTGTACTTATAAATACTGGTGACAAATGTTAAAGCACATATATGCTCAAAGTCCATGGCCTGTATCTCTCACTAGGTTAGGGTGACTATCTGTACTATGATATATTTTTTATTCCAAGGGACTTTCCATAAGAGCAAGGTAGAATTGCAAAATAGGGATACACAGGTGCTTCCTCTTAAAATGCAAATCACCACCAAAACTAAAGTTTCACAAGACTTCAAAAAGTATAATACTCACTGTTGTTTAGACTTCAGGCCTGCACTTTTTAGGATCATAGGAAAGTAGGGCTGGAAAGGAATTTGTGAGGTCATCTAGTCCCAACCCCCTGGCTCAAGGCAAGATCAGCCCTGACTAAATCATCATAGTCAAGCATCTGTCCAATATGCTCTTAAAATTTCCAGGGATGGAGATTCCACAATTCCAATGGAGTCTGTTCCAATGTTTGACCACGCTCATAATCTTCAAACTATATTTCCTCTGCTGCAGCTTAAGGCCATCACTCCTAGTTCTGACCCCTATGGCTAGGGTGAGCATTTTATTTGGAAGGAAATCCAGGACAGGGTGGCACTACACCACTCCCTCTTTCCTGACCCTACACAAGTGCACACCCCCTAACCTTGCATGTGCACTCCCTCCTTCCCTCCCGACCCTGTGGCTCCCAGGAGCCCTGACAGCAGAGCAGGGGCAGGGAAGTCCAGCAGAGAGGCCTGTGGAGGCTCTATCCCCCATGCACAGAGTCTGGACCCAGTGGGAGTGGCCCTCATGCTCCGCCGCCCCACATTCCAGTCACATGGTACCTACCCCCTGCTGATGGCAGACACCCAGAGCTGCCACACACACCCTGAGCTTCAGCAGTGGCTGCAGCAGCAAAGCATAAGACAGCTGGTAGTGGGTGGCCACCCTGGCTTGCACCGCACAGGTGTCCAAGCCTCAGCCCTGGCTATCTTCGGCAGTCCTGCCCTGCCCTGGCTGATCCTTGCCCCAAGAAGGAATAGCAGTGTTCAGCCCAGCCTGCCTACCGCCCAGCCTCAGGAAGAGCTGGGCTGGGCATGTTTGGGTGGGGTGGTACCAATCTGGGACTTCTGCTTCAATTTTAGCCAACCAGCTGGGACAGCCTATGAAATCCAGGACTGTCCCGACCAAACTGGGATGTATGGTTACCCTACCTACAGCCGCAGAGAATATTCTAGCTCCATTCTCTTTGTAGTTGACCTTCAGGTATTTCAAGACTTATCAAATCCCCCCTCATTCTCCTTCTCTCCAGACTACATAATCCTAATTATTTTAGCCTTTCCTCATAAATCAAGCTTCCCAGTCCTCTAACCATTTTTGTCACTCACTTTCCAATCTGTTCATATTATCTTGACGTTTGGGACCCAAAACTAGACACTGTACTCCAGGTAAGCGTCACCAATGCCAAACAGAGAGGAAGAATCACTTCCCTTGATTTGCAAGAGACACTCCTGTTAGTACAACTCAGCATATACTGCTGGCTTTTTTGGCAACGTGATCCCACTATTGGCCCACAGTCCTTATGGTCCACTACTGGTTTATGGCAACCTAAACAATCATTCCCCAGTCTGTATTTATGCATGCAATTATTCCAACCCAAGTGCAGGACTTAGCACATGTCCTTGCTGAATTTCATCTGATTGATTGAGGACCATTTCTCCAGTCTATCCAGGTCATCCTAGGCCCTAGCCCTACCTTTAGAGTATCTACAACTTCACCCCACTTGGTGTCATCCATAAATTTGCTAAGTGTGCACTCGCTGAATATCTTCATTAGTGAAGATCTTCAATACCTTCATCAACTGTCTACAAGATGGGATGCAGCACATCCTCAGCAAATTTGCAGATGACACCAAGCTGCAGGGAGTAGTAGATACACTGAAGGATAGGGCTAGGATTCAGAGACCCCTAGACATACGGGAGGACTGAACCAAAAGAAAGCTCATGAGGTTCAATAAAGACAAGTGAGAAGTCCTGCATTTAGGACCGAACAAGCCACGTACCAGTACAGGCTGGGGACTGACTGGTAAGCAATAGCTCCACAGAAAACAACCTGGGGGTTACAGTGGACAGTAAGCTGAATGTGAGCCAGCAGTGTGCCCTTGTCACCAAGACAACTAACAGCATACTGTGCTGCATTAGTAGGAGTGTTGCCAGCAGATATAGGGGAATAATCACTTTCCTCGATCGGGCACTGGTGAAACCTTATGTAGTACTGTGTCCAGTTTTGGGCCCCCCACTACAGAAAGGATGTGGACAAATTGGAGAGAGTCCAGCAGAGGGCAATGAAAATTGAGGGGGTGGGGAGACATGACTTCTGAGGAGAGGCTGAAGGAACTGGGCATATCTGATTTGGAGAAGAGAGGACTTAGGTGGGATTTCATAAATAGCCTTCAATTACTTGAAGGGTGGTTACAAAAAGGATGCAGCTAGACTGTTCTCAGCGGTGGCAGATGACAGAACAAGAAGCAACTGTCTCAACTTACTGCAAGGGAAGTTTAGGTTAGATGTTAGGAAAAACTCTCTAGCAAGGAGGGTAGTAAAGTACTGGAACAGGCTATCCAGAGGGGTTGTGAAATCTCCATCCTTGGAAATTTTTAAGACCTGGGTAGACAAAGCTTTGGCTGGGATGATTTTCTTGGCGCTGGTACTGCTCTGAGCAGGCAGTTGGACTAGATGACCTCCTGAGGTCCCCTCCAACACTAATTTTCCAGGATTCTATGAATCCCATCTTCCAAATCATCAATGACGTTGTTAAACCTAAGCAACCCACCGTGACATCCCCCTGTTGCTCTCCCCTCTGACCTTTACCCAGAGGCTTTCAACAGGCCTACCTTCCACTTCATATTGTGCATTAGAAATACAACTCCTCCTTTTCCTTCATCTGTTCTTCCTGAACAAAAACTATCCAAGACAGCATTCCAGTAATGTAAACTATCTGCTGACATCTCCATAGTCCCAATTATATCTTAAGTCCATGATCGTACTAGGACCACCCTCTTATAGCAAAATCCATTTCAATTTGATATAAACAGCATTATAAATGTGATACACTAGGTGTTTTTAGCCATATAAATATTAAAAGTTCAAGTCTCATTTTCAAATTCTATGGACTGTAGGTCTCAAGACTATTTTAATGCCTTTCTGAGTTACTTATTACTGGGTTTATTGTTAGGGATAAAAAAAGTGAAAGAAGGTGCAAACAAAGATATTTTAAACAAAAACAATAAAATTAGATAAATAAATGGATACAAATGCAGTTTACCTTTTGTTATCTGACAAACCCACTCAAGTTTAGCATCACAGTGGAAAGGTTTCAAGTAAAAATCCAATTCTTTGCCTTCATATGGATAAAATCTCCAGTAGTGTCTACGCGAAATTCGAATGGTCTGTGTAAGAGTAGAGATGGGAAACTGTGTTGGCAGAGTCAATACAACCCTCTGGAGTTATAATGTCATTTATAAAAATCTACTTAATAACCAGATCATTTCCTTTTTTGCCAGTCCCAAGCAATTTTAACATAATTTTTAAAACGATAAAGTACAGCATTACCCCCAATGCCATCCGAGCTAAGGAAGCAATCAATTTAAAGTGTGTCCTTTTATGGACATCTGTTCTTGCAAATGACTACATATTCTTTTTTTTAATCTACATCTCGTCTGTGTTATCACAGAGTAATACAATATAATTCACTACACTTCAAATGATGCACACATTTCTACCCACAAAGAAAAATATGACCTGGCACAGAGAGATTCCTTCTAACATAATCAAGAGATAACACGCAATGCTGTCCGGAGTTTTGTACTGCTGGCAAGGTCATCCATGGCAGCAAGGTCAAGAGTGAGGTTTCCAAGATGTATAGCGATCCAAAAATAAAAAAAGTCCTCAACAGTGGAGTAAGTGGATGAAGACAGAATACTTCACAATGGCCACAAAAGTGAATGAAGGCTGCAGTGGTGTAGAAACTTCCGGTTGCCTAAGTTTTCCTTGCTGTCAGATTAAGGTTGCCTTCCCACGAAGTACCATGTGATTGTTGTTCCGCAACAGCACTCCCACATTTAAAGATGACATGCACAGGTATCTTCCTTTAATAGCCACTCCTATGGTGATGGGCGATGGAGGAAGGTCCTAGTAATTACCAGAAGCCCCTAAGCATGGATTTGTGTGGAGGCAATGATTGCATGGTGGTCATTTTGTACTTGGAACTGAGACAGGACATGATTCAGCAGCTGTAGTCGTAGTTGAGCCTACATAGTCTGCCTACTCCCTGACATCTGAGTGGCCAGCTGGGTTTAAATAACCTTCCACTTCCAGCATATAAACTTATGACCTAGAACAGGAAGCATCAGGGCAATAGGGCTTAACCTGACTGAAGACCACTTCACTGCTCCCTCTGGTTTGTGATCTCTGATTCCACTTTCTGCTTGATCTCCTGGCTCCTCAACCTAGCTTGCTCTCCAGCTCTGCTCTCTGATTAACCACCAGCTCTTTCACCCACCTTGCTCCTGAACCTTGCTCTGTGTGTGGCAGGGCACTTTGGAGTGCTGCTACTTTAAAAGGCCAGGCAGCCTGCAAAAACTGCTGAAAGGTACAGGCCAGGGCTAATGGGGGTGGGTGGGCGGAGGGGGAAGATCAGCTGACCCAGGGAGCTGGCAGGTTTAAGTTCAGGCCCTGAAACAATCTGGGAGTAATATCTTGGAGCCTGCTGAGAAAACATCTCCTCAAAGTGGCTGCAGCCCCAGAAGGCCATCTTAGAGAGAACACCTAAAGCGGTTTGGGGAGGAACTGAAGGGAGGAGGAGGATCCTAGGGATGCAGGGAGGAGTCCAGAGCGTAGTGACAGGCTGAGAGTGAGGGACCAGCAAAGGTCCAGGAACCCCAGAAGGGAGTTTAAGTGAAAGAAAACATCCAGGAAGGATGGCATCTGCGAGGAATGGGGCATTGTGTAAGGAAGAAATGGAGCCATGCAATTAACTCATAAGGCAGAGACCACATGCACCTAGTAGTCATTTAAAAGAACAAATTAGGAAGCCCTGGAGCAGCCTCCCTCATTAAAATAACCAGCATCAAGGTGTGGTGGGTGACTAGAAGGGGTGATTGCTCACACTCTAAGGGCTGCAGAGACCCCAGGGGCTTCATAGCCACCCCCTGTAGAGACACTGCCAAACTCATCTCTCAATTCCTTGACCTTGCTTGTTCTTGGACATTGTTCTCTGTTTGATCTCCCAGCTTCTTGACTCTGCTCGTTCCTAGACCCCACTCTTGGACTGACCTACTGGCTTCTTGACCTGGTTCAACCTCAGATTCTGCTCACCCATCCTGACTTTGATACTGACATCAATTGGAAGGACTGACATCAATTGGAAGGACAGAACAAATGCTAGCATTCTGGCTCAAGCAAACTTTTACCAGCACTAAAGCCATGTTTATATGGCACCAGCTCCAGTGGACAGGACATGTTGTAAGGATGCCTGACAACCAGCATCCCAAAACAGGTCCTCTACTTCTAATTTACTCACAGTCATCACTCTAGGGGTGAGCAAAAGAAAAGATTTAAGGACATTTTGAAAGCCAATATGAAGAAATAAGATATTAACATTGATAGAATACTAATGACGTTGGAAACTCAAACACTAAATTACCCGTAATGGTGTCATGACATATGTCAAGATACCAGTCACTCAGAGCAAACTTGCCCCACTATGGAGGTAGACAGATGAGAGAGACAAGGTGAAAGAGCTGTGACCCAACATTACCAGGCCCCACTCCTTCCTCCCAGAACTATCTGCAATGTCTGCAGTTGAATATAAGGATCTGATTGCTTTCTTCAGCCATCTCCAAACTCACTAACGGCTCCCTATTTATTAGAAGAGTGTCATCCTTGAATCAAGGGACTGCTGATGACAGTATCATATTTAGTAAAAATTTTCTCAGCAACAGTGGCAAAACTTCTGTTTTGTGAAGATGAGTGTTTGTAGATTAACAAAAAGAAAATTAGCAAGTTTTTACTGCATATCACTATGAATCCACTGCAACTGTCAGCCTAAACTTAATATCTATACCACAAAAATCTTTTCAAAATGATCAGGACTACCACTTATAAATACATTATAAAAATCTTGAAACTAACCTTTAATGCAGCACAGTCTCTAGTATCATAGACATCTTCTTGGTAATCAAGTGGCATAACAAGAGTGGTCACCTACAAAAAGTACAGAACGACAGAACTGTAACATCATCATTATTATTCGTACTGGGGTAGTACTTGCAAGCCCCAGTCAGAACTGAGTCCCCATAATACTCGGCAACTTTCAAACAAATAGAAAGATGCTGAGAAAACTTATGGTGCAACCTTGCAAAGATATATGAGTGAACGTAACTTTATGGATATACACCACTCTAAGATAGTTACTGGAGAGGTATGCACACACCAAGATGCATGGACTAAGAATCTGCAGTGTACCTATGAATTATATCTGTAGTTACATATACATTGTAACACGGGCCCACTACCCTCTGTTATTTTGAGAGGAAAGAGACAGAGTGCTGGGGCCAGCAGGGAGAAATAGGAAGCCATTGGGAAAAAAGAGCTACTTGGAACAAGATGGAAAAGGGAATAGCCTACAGGGGCTGGGCTCCAGACAGTATGTTAAAGAGGGACTGCAGCAGAGCTGAGCAGGCTGCCTGATTAGGAGAAGTTAGCCGTGGAGTTGAGAGCTTGCTAACTGAGAAGCAGGCTGCTGACAGAAACCTATAGATTGCTTAATGGGAAACTCATGTCTGGCACTGTGAAGCAGGGGTCAAGTGACCAGAAGGGGGTGTAGTTTGGAAATGTATAGGGTTGGACTGTAGGTGAGAGAGTCATTCTGGTCCTAAGAACTGCAGTAAAATGAGCCCTTGTGAGAGCAGGCTGAGATAATGAGATCCACAGGAAGATTAGGTAACCCCAGGTAGCTGGTAGGGAAAGAGGAGGATTGTCTCTTTAGTGAATATATGCACACGGGCTAGTGGTTTTTAAGTGTTTTATTTCATAGTTTTAACTGGAGGTTTAGGTGTGGCTACAAGGGTTGGTGGAAGGCACTCGTGTAGGGATGCATTGACAGAGATTTTGGGGGCCAATACTGATAGCTGATTTTTAAGGAGGCATATTGGCTGATACTTATCCAATTTCTGATACAGCTGTGTGCAGCTGATAAGTCTGTTGTGGTCCAGTGGGCACCAGGGGGGTGCAGATCAACGCCCCCTGTGGTGAGGGAGAGAGTGGGGTTGGGGTAGGCGCTGCCCAGCCAGGACAGGGTGAGTGCAGGACTGAGCTGCGGTTCATCCAGGAGGCGCGGTGGGGGCAGGGGGAGGCGGCTCCCACCGCTGCTCCTGCCACCCATCCAGGAAGGCATGGTGGAGGGGAGGGGGGAAAGAAGGCGTGTGCCCCTGGATTTGCACTGGGGGGGCCAGGCAGGCTGCAGTGCTGCGCTCATAGCAGGCAGCGGCAGCACTGGGAGGGGGGCTATGCAGTGAGGGAGCCGTACTCCCCTCATCGCAGGGGGCCTTGTTCTATGCCCCCATGCCCCTTCCTTCCCCCTCCCCTTTCACCACCACAGGCTGACCAGCTGCACATGTGCATGGGGCTTGTATCAGCCAAATTATCAGTCACTTTAGGCCGTTTTCTGATATAGTCAATTGTCTTTATATCGGTGCTGATCTGATATTGGACTGAGTTAGTGGTATACTAATGCATCAGTGCTTTAAGTCCTGCAGGGGCGGGGGCCCAGAGGGCTGAAGACTGAAGGTAGCAGCCAGCAAGGGTCAGAGACTGACCAAGGGTGAGTGAAGGTGGGCTGAAACCATCATTTGGGCCAACAGGTTCATGATTAATGCCAGCAGGGCATCATTAGTGCCTGCAAGGCATGAGGGGTATAAGGCCCAAGACACTGAGGCAGGGCTGGTAGGCCCAGAGGCAAAAGAGATAGTGAGGCAGAACCAGTGGACTCAGAGCTGAGAGAAAAAGGAAGAAGAGTAATGCCTTACACAGGCAGGAACTAGGGTCAGAACACAGCCACACAGTGAATGAGCAGGGCTAAGTAAGGCACCCAGGTCTTATTTTGGACCCTGGTGGCAGCCTCCCATATTTATATTAAGCAATTAAGGTATGGCAGGTGAGCAAAGGGTGGAGCCCAAGAGCCTAGCATAGGGAAGACAGGGTCAGAGTGGCCCCTAGGGGGTGCCCCAGCTGTCCCCTGGAAGTGGGTACTGTCACATACACCTTCCTCTGTCCAGCAGAATTTAGATCCTCATCAAATTTAAAAATATTGTTATCAAAATATAGGATAGGAGTAGAGACTAAACTAATTTTATTTAAGAATATTTTAAAAATTGAGAAATTCTGATTGGACTACGGTTCTTTCTTTGCGCAGGTGCAAAATTTTACATAAAAGCATTTTCTAGATTCTTTGGGTTAAAAAAAAAAAAAAAGATTCTTTGCCTGCCCATGTCCTTAGACCAACACGGCTACAACCTACACCCCTTTTTCTAGATTCTTCTTCTGTTCAAAGAATAAGATAAAAATTATTTTCATGATGGTTTAATTTTCAACTGAATCCAAGTTGAATCCAATAGGGGTATGGAATGTTTTTTGGATGGAGCTGAATTTAACTTACAGAGTTGTCATCACTCCACTGCCAAGTTCCTAGAGACTCTGGATCCCTCTTGTTCAGTCCAACCCACACCCATCGATCATTGCTGTAAATAAAAACAACAACAACAAATCTCAGCACAATATTTCATTAATTTTTAGTTAAGAGAGATCTGAATCATTTATACAACCTTTCTTTTAACTGCTGCTAAGAATGCAAGAATCACGGGCCCCAAAGGAAAACAAAGTGTGACACACCACCAGGGAGGACACTTGTCCTAGAAGAAGGGAGTTCTTGAACCCAGGAATGTTTATGCATTTCACGAGAAAGTCTTTGGATTAAAAAAAACAAACAAACAAACCACCCACCCTGGAAAGAACCAAGGAAGAAGGGTGCAGAATTCACATCTCTCCCCTCCCCAAGGGCCCTAACTATAAGGTTAGAGAGTCAAGCTTCTTCCTGCTTTCTTGAGCATGTGGGACTCAAACAGGGGCATTTAAACCTTTTTTGAACTAGGATTTTGGTTAGCAGGATAAAATATAATGTTCTCTTGGCAAATATTTTGCCCATCTCTAACAATGAACTTCCAATATCAGAATTTATCAAGGTCCTTGGTTTTTGCTATGCTATAATGATATTAAATTCAATTAATACAAGTGGAAGCACCAAAGACTCTAAAATACTATGTATCTCTCTACAGGAAACCTTCTAAACCCAACATTTACATTCTTCTAACAACTACATTGCTTCTGGCAGTTTGCCCTGAGGATTTTATTTTTTCTACAATTGTCCATACCTGCACAGTTAATCAAACACTCTCTGCCATAACCCAAAGCTTAGAAAAGTTTAAGCAATCTATCACCACAGAGGAACAAACCTACCAGTGAAAACCCTTGAAAAACTTATTTCAGAAGACTTTATAGTAATTACTTGAGGGAACAAAGCAATTTCTAAAATCTTTCAACTTTTTGGCTTGCTTTTATTTTTTGAAAAAGATGCCAGATTAAGAGTTTCCTCAATTTAATTCCCGATTTATATTACCCTGACTTTATACTGTTTATATTATGACTTTGTCTGACTTGGCATCTATGTCAATGCATATTTCCACTCGTCCTTTAAGGCAGCTCAGACACAAACATGAATCTCATTCAACAACTGATCCACTATTCTCGATAGCACTGTGAAGAGGCACCTGTACACTGCAGCCAGTCCCCAACCACGCCTGGCACTCCTCAGAGCCACTCTCTGCAACCCATAGCAAGAGCAAGGAGTGGCTCTTGGGATCCCTGCATATTCAGATCAGGTGGGGACAGCAGTGGGACCCCCTTCCTGTCTCCCCCAATGGTCCTGGCACTCCAGCTACAGGGAGCAGCTATGCAGGTTACTGGGCTCTGCAGGGGACAGTAGTAACAAATGGCAGCAGAAAAGGGAGATGCAACTGAACTGCCACCCCCCTGGATCCACCCCGATTGTGACATACATTTAGAAGGCATTCTCTGGTACAAAAACCCTGAAATACAGATGTGCATTAGTATTCCATCCCCACTGCAGCTGCTATTGTATCAGGGAATCTACTGATACAATAGTGACATTCTCTGGTTACACATTTTTAAGACCTGTGTGGTAGAGTGCACCAGTGTTCCAGGGCTATAAACTGGATAGTACAGCTTTTTGTGGTGGTTAGGGTAACAAGATTAGATCATATACTACTGCAGCACAGAAGGAACCTGAAATGCATTCAGTCTCTGCTTGATCAAGGACTCAAACATGGCAGCCTGAAGGATTCTAAATCTAATGTTTTGGTGCTGAAGACTTTGTATGTGGATGAAGATGACTCACGCAGAACTAGAGTTTGGTAAATGTTGCTTAATATGATGTATTCTTTTTTTCCCTCATCTGCATAGTAGCACAATGCTGTATGAACCATGGCTAATATGCAACAGGAATGGGACTTACTCTTTTCTAAAGTTCTGATTGCTGGAATAGAAAAGGGAATTTCTCTCTCAGTTGTAGACAGAAGAAAGATCCTATACAGTATTCAGAGTGTAAGTGAAATCATATTTAAGACCTTTAACAATCTAGCAATTAAGGGATGGGAATACAGAACAAAATAGTTATGGCATATGTGAGCCAGCTCCGAAACTGTGCTATTTGAAACAGACTATGATCAGTTTCTAAAATCTAATTTCAGCTGCTGAACTCTCCAGTTTAGGGGGTGGTAAAAGACCCTGCATATAAAAGGTAGAGTCAATAAGCTGCTAACACTGGTGCCTGAAAGGGCTGACTCCTTCCCTGGACCATGCCCTGAGATGGAGCCATTCTACACAGGAAACAGCAGTTGCAGTCTGTTGGAAGAATATCATTCATAGTAAACTTCCTTTCTCTTCATGCCAAAGTCCACATAGACTGGCTCCTTTACTCGCTGTGCAGCTGGAACATTTACCCTTTGAGGACACATATGCAAAGGTAGTCTAAGTACATAAATATTGTTCTGGTGATTTCCTGTGTTTTGTTAGATAGGTGATTTGCCATGTAAAACTAACAGATAATTAAAATATGTTAGCTAAAACCAATCAAGATTGGTTGAACAAGTTCATCTTGTATTCTTTGACTAATTCATACAGGATTAAGTTTTTCACATATTAATTCTGAGTATGTGGGAATCAGATAAGACTATTTAGTCTTAGGAACTGTTTCTAAACATATATTCTGGTAACATTGCCTTGTTCTGTGATATAACCTGAGAATATTTTTAAGGTTCTTTGAAGAAACATTTTCAGAACTGTTGAAAACAACTGAGAATGGCCAGTTACTTCCTTCCTAGTAAGGTATAATATTTTTCAATGAGACTTAAGTTAATTCAAGATGCCATTCTCTAAATCTATTTTATACTAGCTTATATCTAGAGAACATGCACACTAAATACTTTGACTCCTTTAGAATTTGATCAACTGGATCCACTACACCTCTGCTTCAAGTTGGTCACTGCATCCCTAGCCAAGAAAAGAAGCTAACTTATTTCATGACACCTAACTAACTTAAATCAGAACATGTGTGCTGCTTCTTTCCCTTCAAGGTAAAATCTGAGTGTATAAGCAGATTAGCCTACCTTCTCGCTTTGTCCTGTGCCAAATAGAAGACCAAACTGCCTTTATCAAACACTCACATCTCAATGAGTCAGAGGAGGGAGGGAGGGATGAGGGAAAACGGTGAGGCATGTTTCTTCCTAAATTAAAACCACTTTATCGTCATGTTAGGACAGACTGTGATTGAATACAACCCAACAAAATATTTCACAGATTAGTCATTTGTACTAGAATGTTCTCTATTAGCCAGGTTCATTTTTGCTCAAAAATTATTTTGTACTTTTTTTATAATGAGTTTTTGTTTACAGATAAGCCACATATCTCCCGATTGCTGAAATGTTTGTTTATATAATCACCAGCCCCTGCATAATTTTAAGATGTAAAGCACCAATTAATAGCTCCATATAAATATATTTAAAGAATAATAAGAGGTTGCTAGTCTTTGGAAGCACTATTAAAGATTTAACACCTCTACAAAAGAAGTAATAGAGCTGTTGATCAATATTCTCTTTGGCTTGTGTTAATGTTGAGTGCATACAGCTATTGTTATTGACTACATAAGTCCAAACATTAGTAAATTCTACTCAAGTATTTATCAAGTTGTCACTGTGCCAGGCTAAATTTAAGAGTTCTAAAACATTAGAGTAGCAATAATTAGCATCATACATTAATGCATTCTTTGCAAATAGTAAATCTTCACCTTTGGACTCCTAACAAAATAAATACGGCCATTAACTATAATTAATCCTGGATACCTAGTGAAGAAGTATCAAATCTGTAAAGCAGTATTAAGGACTATACTAAAAAGAGCGAAATTAAAAGAGAATTTTTTAGTTACATTTCACAGTGGATCAAGAATAGAAAAACAAAATTTGCAGTAGTATAAAAATAAAAAAAAGACATTTACAGCATCTACATACAATGAACATGTGTGCTACACGACATTTCAGGGACATTAGTAAGCTACAGTAGCAAAGAAGTCACAAGCACCTTTTTATGGAATGTACAATCTATTTATAAAGCATGCTGATGTTCTGTTTTCTTTTATTAGCATAAACATTGGCTAGATGGTTTTCATTGTTTGTAGATTTCTAAACAAAACAAATGGAATTTTCAGTACTGCCAGTCATGAGCAAATAACTTTGAAAATTGCTGACAAGCGACTGTATATTGGAAGCTTTTAAACAAATCTCAATGTAGTTTGTGAAGGAAAACGTAAAGTTTGGTGCAGCTGGTTGGCAGCATCAAATTTAAACTGGCAAGGATTTTGAACAGCTAAGCTGTCAATCAAAAACCTTATTATGGATCTGACATCATAACCATGGTATAGCACTGCTTCTCAGTGACAGCTTCTTTGACAAAAATCCAAGATTCATAAATTATGTAGCATTTCATTTTTTACACCAGAGAGATCAACACACTCATCTAATGTCTGTATAGTGTTATCCCAGTTATGCCAAGTGGAATGTGTGCCAGCCAGATTGCTGGATGGCATATTATTCACTGATTACATTTAACCACCCACCCCCGCAAAAAAACCCCAGAGCCTAATTTAGGCAGAAAGCATCTTGTGCATAAAAATATGGCTTACTTTAACATTTTCATAAAACACTATTCCTACAGTAAGTTTTTTCAAGTCAACCAGAATGCAGCAGTCAAGAACAGGGAACAACTGTCACTTTGCCATGCCAAAATTCAGCAGAAGGAAGCAAACATTTTATAAAAACAACATAGATTTAAAGTCATTTTAAGTAGGAAACTGAAACCAAGTGTCTTTGCCTTGTCTCTGCATTTCTACGGTGCTCAGAAACCATTGCTCAAACTGTGTTCCTCTGACACTCATGTCATGTCCAGCAGATTGATTGCCACGACACAGCTCTCCTAATTGACTCAGCAATCTGTGAGGTGTTCAGGGAAGCATTTGGGCAAACCCCTGAACTTGACTGCCAATTAAATGTTGGATGTCTACTTGCTACACACTGCTAACATGCAAATATTTTGGATAAGACAGTAATTAAGG